CAAATTCTCGAGAAACACCTCTTTCAGTCGATGTATAGCTTTTTGGATACAAATGAAATCTTTTCACCCACTCAGTACGGTTTCATTGCTAAAAAATGATTTTTCTGATAACTTATATTCCACACCTGAAAATAATATGTTCGCATGCGCGCTTTTCCTTAATTTGTCTAAGGCCTTTGACGCTGTTAACCACCAACTGCTCCTAAGGAAATTGCATCGCCTGGGCTTTCGTGTCCCTTTTTATTCTTTACTAGAAAACTTCCTTTCTCACCGTTCTCAACTCGTGTCAATCGGTGGCTTTAAAGGGACAATGAAGGCAATTTCGGAGATCTTTTTGGCGATTGAACTGGGTTCCAGGCACGTCTCAGGCCAGGTTGCCCAAATTTCAGCCGAAACCGGCGCTTGTGTGCCGCGCAAATCAATTAAATAGTCGCGGTAATAATCGTACCGGGATCGACTGGGGCGACGCCCCAAGAGTTGCGGGAGAAGCCAGGAGAAGCGGAGCTCACGTGACCGATGCGGGGCCAAGGAGCGCGACGTCACAAGAGACGCGTCAGCGATTGGTCGAAACGAGAAACGTGCCCTCGGTCACGTTTCGGTTCGCGATTTTTAGAAATACTGTTCTAATTTCCGCTTGAATAACCATCAAAAGTATAAATCGGATCGGAAATGATTACTAAACCGTAAATAAAGCAGCATCAGTGTTTTTTTTCTTTGCTACGCTGGACGCGAAACTGGCAACGAGCAACTATGGGCAACAAAATAAAATTAAAAGAGAACACAGAGAACACGGTACTCGAAAGCTGTTGCGAAATGGTAGCTGTAGATGGCTGTTCTAACGGTCGACTGAAGACCAGTATTCGTTCGGGCGACGCTAGTTTTCACGTGTGGGTTGCTGTTCGTGTTCTTTGACGACGAAAAGAGGAAGTCCGCGGAGGAACCGGATCCCGGAACGGCGGGATCGCTGCCGCTTTCCCTTCGGCATCTCCCCCGCGTCCGTCCTTCGGCATGCGGGCCGCTCGTTGCCGGCCGGGCAGTCTCCGTCGGGTGATGGCAGAGGCCGCCACACACGTACTCCCCTTCCGTTGGTGTTCGGTCACTGAACGGAAGCTCGAACTCGCTCGCGGGAGCGGCATTCATCCATGTTGACAGAGTCGGCGCAACGACCGCGCCACCGCGCTGCTACAACCTACCGCGGTAACCAGAGTCTCGATCTCCTAAATACTACCGATACCGACTATTCACACTTGACGTCACTCCCTACGTCACCTCCATTTTCGGAGGCCCAGAAACGAGACTGGAGATGGTTCAGTTTCGGTTTCTTTACTTCTTTCGTAGGCACATAAATACGCGTCATAAATGTCTACAAAAAATTGGGCGGCATGCTATGCTCCCAAGAAGCATTAAAACACCATTTAAAAAAATTAAATAAAATCGTCTTCATTGTCCCTTTAAGAGTCCTCTTCTTCCTCTTAAGGCGGGGGTGCCTCAAGGTTCAGTGTTATCGCCTCTACTTTTCAACATTTTTGTTAATGACATGGCTAGTGTCGTCAGTGGATGCACGCTCTACCAATACGCCGACGATACCATTTTTGTGTCGCGTCATATTAATTTCCATGACTCTTTCAAAACCATTGAGGAGAATGCTACGCATATAATGGCCTGGTTTGCTGAAAACATGATGGACATTATTAAATCTAAAACAAAGCTAGTTTATTTTCGTAATCCTCTCAAAAGACACCCTGCTAAAGTAGAGTTTCTTTTTCACCGATCTAAATGCGGTCCATACACCAATTGAGTCAGTTAATCATGTTAAATACTTGGGTGTTTATTTCGATTTTGATATGTCGTGGAACACACATATTTCATACTTATGTAGCAAAATACGAGTTGTATCCTGCATGCTTTATAACACTAGAGTCTCCATACCAGTTGGTGTAAGGCTGCTGATATCTCACGCACTTGCTTACAGCGTCATTCGGTACGGCGTAACCGTTTTTGAAAATTGTTCTGGTCGCTTGCAAACCAAAGTTGATACCCTACTGAGAGGAACACTCACTAGTGTGTCATATAATGTCAAACACTAGGAATATTTTCAAAACTCTCCAACAGCCAAAGCTCCATTCACTGTATATTCAAACTGTTATATTACGCAACTTTTGGAATAAGGATTTCAGAACACCGTCACTTCCCTCTCGCTCATTGCGATGCAGCCCTCGTTTCAAGGTGCTACGTGGTAGGACCCGTTACGGTAAATGCACGGGCGCTTATTATGTTCCGAGTTTATTCAACGCTCTGCCGGACTCAATCCTGGACATCACCTCACTGAAGGCATTGAAGAAGGAACTGAAATGTGTTGACTTGGATATTACTTAGTGCAAGCCTATACTCGGCGACAACTTTTCTTGGCAATGCAGTGGAAGGTACAGGCCCGCGTCCCCTCTCCCATTTTGAGTGTACGCAGGCTTTCCTCCTCCCCCATTTCCGGGGAGAGGAGGAGAGCCCGCGCTCACTCAAAATGAGAGAGGGGACGCGGGCCTGTACCTTCCACTGTATTGCCTAGAAAAGTTGTCGAGGAGTATAGTACCAGTGTGTGCATAGTGAATTTGCAGGGCTATTGTTTTTTTTCTCTGGTCCCTTCTTCCCCAATGATTCTGAGGACATTTCTATGTCTTCCGTTTGTTTTTAGGTTTTGTTTTTTTTGCTTTTTTTTTATTTACATTTATTTGTTTTTCTCATGCCTGTGTCATTTTGTAACTGTGTTTGATCCTGCTTTCTCGTTTTTTTTTTATGTGTATTAATTTGCTTATTCACTCACTGCTTTTTTTCTTTTGTAACTGTCTGATGACAGTTACGACTTTTCCTTGTACTTTTCTTTTCCTTGCTACGTTTTCCCAACGTCGTGTCTCCATTTCAGCATAGTTCTGCTGAAATTGTTTAGTTTTTACTTCTTTTTTTTTTTTTGCTATGATTAGCGACATTTCTGCTTGTCGCTGATGATACTTTCATTTCCATTGGTCTAATAGTTCTGATGACATTTATGTATAGCTTTCTGTCCTGACAATGTTTTCCTTTGCTTCATTGTGTGTTTTTTTTTTTTTTCTTTTACTCTTGCATTTTGCCGATGTTATTTTTTTTTTTTTTTTTTTTTAGGGCGTCATCACACAAGCCTTTAGCTGGCTTTGATATGCCCATACATATAACATTGCATTCCTGATGGGCAAATAAAATTATTATTATTATTATTATTATTATTGTTTTATATCGCGATTTTTGCTTGAAAGAGAAGCACATCACGGGTTATCCGCATTTGGGTCCGGATAACTAAACGTACAAACGGTAGTAATTTTTAGCAGGTGTATACCTCATTTTTTGAGACGCTGAATTGTTACCGACTCACAAGATTTGAGAGTTCGATCGCGACAGGGTCTCAGACGTTTTGCGTTGACCGGGTTATTAAGCAGAAATTCAATTGAAACGACTCCGGAAGGAAGCCACCACTCCTTCCTGTCAGATATTTTGGAGAAATCTTTGTTACGTGTCGATCGAAACCGAAACCATGCCGCTCTCCTCCCTGGCCAACTAGTTCCCAGAGTGCAACGTGCGCCGTGTTACATGCAGGGCTTTATAAAAGTAATCTATTGACAAAAAAAAAAAAAAAAAAAACACGTGAAGCAGGCTTTATGAAACGAACTGTCAAGCCGAGGGATCCAAGATCTGCGCGGTCTGTCCCTGTTTGTCCTACCCATGACGTCACAAACGATGATGATGATAGCTAGAGAAGCGCCCCCTGCAGTTCGCGCACGCCGCCAATAACCGAGGAGGGAGCCCTAGAAAGGCGCGCAGTGAACGATCGTTTTGTGCCTTCCCCGCGTCTTCGAAAACAAAGGAGCGAAGGGACAAAAAGAAAAGGCGCGCACAAATCCGCCACACCAACTGCTTGCACTTTTTTTTTTTTTTTTTTTTGAGGGGGGAGGGGAGGTGGGAAACATTTTGCTCGCGGGCGTTTACCTAATATTGTTAGCACCAAGAGTCCGGTTCTTGCTATTAGTGTGCTTCCCCTTCGCCGTGTACGAGTTACAATTTGCAAACAACTAAACCACGAAAAAAAGAAACAAAGATTTGTTCAGGGTTTAGGTGACGTGAAAAAAATGTTTTCAGTATCTGAAGAACGCCAGGCCTTGCGTGTTGTATGCGCAGGTGACAATATAAATCCGGAAAAGAAATATATATATATATATATATATCTTTTTTAGAAACAATTTTTTGTTGTTGGCATTCCGCATTTTTTCCCGTGACTGAAGACGGACATTTAACGGGTGACAATCATTCCCTTATGTAAATAAGTAAGGAAATTACTTAACAATTAGTTTGAAAATGAGTAATTATTCCCTTACAATATTACCGCTAAATCTAAGGGATTACAAGTAATTTCGTTACTTGTAAAGGAGTTGCGTAGAGGCCTGCTTCAGATGCCGCGCCCGCACCCGATGCAGAAGTCCCGGTGCATGGACGCCATTGCTGACGCAAAGTTTCGGAATCGTTATCGTCTGCTGTCGGGATAAATATACCGACTCGAAAGAGAGGGTAACGGCTTAGAGTGCGGATGAAACATCATCACGCTTAATAACATCAAAACCGACACGAGGGAAGGACAGAAAAACACACAAGAACACGATACGCGAGCGCATATCTTCTAAACTTTCACGACTGCGGTAACAAAGAGAAAAATATTTACCACAAGACAGCTAGGTCCAAAGAATAGGATACACCGTGAAAAAGCTAGTGACACTTTTAATAGAACGGAAACCTGCACGAAGCATAAAAATGGCAACACCATGCGCGTATAAAATTCCTCTGAAAAAACAGCATAATATATGACCAAAAAATCTAACACCATGTTCAGCTCTACTTCTGACTTTTTTCTATTCTCTATTCTATTTCTTTTCTATTTCTTTGTATCTGATTATGCTGACATCGGACTTGAAGTTTTCACTTACCTCGTTCTTGGCCGGTCTACTCGCTAACGAAAGGACGAATCCTTGGGATAAACCAGCTTGCCAACTGACACACGAGCTTTCGAATGAGACGAAGGCGCCCACCCACTCTGTAATCAAACGACCAATGGCGAGAGCAGCAGCGAGCGTCTGTGTGCGAGATAAGCAGACGTGCGAGCGGCGAGCTCTGTGGAGCCAAGATTTCAGAGAGGGAGCAACTCAAACCACGGAGAGCGTTCGCAATTTAATGGCGGACGTCTTCTGTGCAGATGGAGATGCGCATGACTGCGTTGGCGCGCGGGCCGAGGAGGAAAGCGGGCAGAGCTGCGTAGGTGGGTGGCAACGTTGGTCGGTGGAAAGCAGAAGGAGACAGTGAACAGCACGATCAGCAGCAATGTTGAGGAGGAACAGGATTGTATAACGATGGAGACGACTACGAAAGAATGGGACAAGGCAGAAAGTAAGGTTCCAGCAGGTACAGCGACAAGCCCAGACAACATTCCCATAAAACTCATACACTAGGAAAAACGAGCAAATTCAAGTTACGGCATGTGATTAACCAAGTAATTATGGGAGGAGAGGTTGGAAATGATTGGAAATTAGTAAAATGAGACTAATCTACAAGGGCAAAGGGAAACAAAGACAGCATATCGCCCGATAACGGTAACTTCAGTTCTATACAGATTAGCTATGCAGATAGTAAAGCGTAGAATGGAGCAATGGACAGAAGATATGCATATACTGGGCGAGCTCCAAAATGGATTCCGAAGAGATAGAAGACTGGAAGATAACTTATTCGTCACCACTCAACGCATAGAAACAGCAATCAAGAACCAAACTCCTTTACGGTTACCTTATTTGGACATCAAGGGAGCGTACGATAATGTGAAGCAGGAAAAACTCTGGGGTCAGCTGAAGGAGTATAATTTAGATACAAATTTGGTTAGGTTTCTTCAGCAAGTGTACACACACAATAAGATAGGGATAACATGGCAAGCAGGAACTACACAACCCGCAGCAATAAAAAGAGGACTCGGGCAGGGCTGTTCATTGTCACCTCTGCTCTTCATGATATATCTCGGTAAAATGGAAAATAAACTAGAGCAGTGCAACTTAGGTTTTGATGTGAGTTATATGGAAGGCGGGAGAAATGTAGTACAGGTAATACCAGGACTGATGTATGCGGATGACATAGTACTCAACTACTCATGGCAGAGAACCAGGATACATTACAGGAACTAGCTGGAATATGTGGAGAGGAATGGGACACCTAGGGCATGAGTTTTAGTAGTGACAAGTCTGGAGTAGTGGTGTTCAACGATGAAAAGAGCGAGCCCCTGAGGATACAAGACATTGTAATATACCATGTAGGAAAATAAAAAAATGAAAGCAGTTTACAACTCCCTGTAATGCCGGATTAGAGCGCAGCTCTTGAGGAGATGGAAGGGTACTGAGGTATAGGATGGTAGGGCACTGAGGGATGGGTGACTCCCTTAGGTCACGTCACCTCAGGGGGGTCACGTGACATCAGTTTGTCACGTGACCTCAGGGGGGTCACGTGACCTGGGGGGGTAACCCTCATGACCCTCGTGAGAGTAATTTTCATAACCCTATTAACCCTCATGAGGGTAACTCTCATAACCCTCGTAAGGGTAACTCTCATAACCCTCGTGAGGGTCACGAGGGTTACGCGTGCGTGACCGTTGTAAGGGTCACGAGGACCTTGATCCTCGTGAGGGTAACAACCCTCGTAACCGTCACGAGGTTACGAGGGTTACTCTCACGAGGGTTACGATGGTTACCCTCACGAGGGTTACCCTCGTAACCCTGTAAGAGTAACCCTCGTGGGAGTAGCCCTCGTAACCCTCACGAGGATTATGCTCGGTTACGCCGACGCCGCTCAAGCCAGAAGTGGGCGCCTAAGAGCTGCACTCTAAAATATCTGGGAGGCTGGCTCAATGAGGGAAGGAAATATCTAGAGGAAAACGAGGAGAACATAATTAAAAAAAGGAAAAGAAATTAATCTATTATGAAGCTCAAGGCACTGAAGTGGCCGAAAAGGCCGCACCCTCTCCCCCTCCGAAATTTCCGAGGGGGGGGGGGGGGGGGGGGGGAGGGAGTCGGCGAGGTCACTGACTTTCGGATTCATCAATATCAATGCGGTGTTGTACATTTCTTTAAAACAGCGGATATTTTTTCCTGAATGGTTGTAACATTAATGCTCACTAAACAATTTTTTCTTTCTTTTATGCGACGTTTCCGTGTGCGACATCCCGCTCTAAAGGAGTGCATGCCACACAGTACGCAGGTGTGCTGCGGCGAAGCAAGATGCGCTAAATCGTGATGCCTACTGCGGGGTTCTCGCTTCACTGCAGTGCACCAAAGCGCACTCAACGAAGCTGCCAGAACAGATCACGAACATGAGAAAACTTGAAGGATATCAGAGTATTGCCAGTGTTTCACACAGATCAGATCTAGTAGCAAATTATTTGAGGCGATAATGCGGAAAAGCAGGATTTAAGCCGGGGCATGTGACCAGGGACGCATAACTTTGTGTTCCCCTCCTCAGCCCCCTTGATATTTGCAAATACTTTACTATAGAGCGTATTCGCTGCAATCTTCCAGTGTTCTTCAAACGTGTGTTCGACACCATCAGGATTGCCGGTCAGCGGGCACACGCGGGTGTTGCTTCCCTGCAGTGCACCAATGTGCAGCGAGAAGTGCACTCAACAAACTAAGCAGCCTTGCCCAGATGATAAATATTATGAAAGTTCCGAGCACAGTCAGTGTTTGAAATGAAGATTAAATAGATTGGTCTGTTATTCTAAGCAATAATAAGAAGTTTTGAAAATTCGAGATTGTGTACCCAAGGCGTTACCTTGAGTACTGAGAATGACATTACACTTTGGCGCGATGCAGAGGAACTTCAGATCTCTATGAAAAGTACCAAAACGTAGCAAGCGAATTACTGAACAAAACCCGGTAGCTCGACAAGTCCAATAAGAAATTGTGTCGATTCCCCGAAAGCATTTTCACGGCACGGAAATCAAATCGAACATTTCTGCGATATGAAAAAGCATCGAGCAATGCACATTTCCAATGCTTATTCACGACGCTGTTCATTTGAATTCGACTTGAAACACAAAGTTAATTAGACAGGAATTTCTTTGCCCAGGTCTTGTACTAGTGTAGAATAAATAGCAATGCTGCGTAATATTATGTGGCAAAGCCCTACAGCGAAGAGATCCAAGTACAGAAGGAATAATACTCCAAGCACAGTGCTGACCGGCACCCTCAGCAGTGCAGGTTGTTTTTCGCAGCAAAAAGGATGCTACTGGTTACATTTTGTTCCTTACCTCAAAAGCTTGGCCACGGTTATAACTACAGAATTGATGTCAACTCTTTTAAAGCCTGATTCACATGGTGCAATTGAGCACTGCAGCTTCCAACATGCATTTTTAGCACCCCGAGCGAAGTTGCAACAGCAATATCTCAAGTGAAATCCACCATGTGAATCGAGCGAAATGGGTTCAGTTGACTTCACCGTTGCTATGCATGCAACAAATTGATCCTTACACTTAGAAAGGAGCATAAAGCAAAGGTATTGATATGAACGAGCTTGGTCCATCCTATTTTTTATTTTATTGATCTCGCGATAGGCCTACGGCGGGCATGCGAGTGAGTGCACTGGTAACTATGCGGCCATGAGGCCACATCGTTTCCAGTATCCAGTGCAAGTTTAAAGGGTGTCCATTCAAGGCTGGTCTTTGCCTCTTCTCACCGTCGTTGGAGACTTTTGGCTTTATCTCGAGACACGGGCCGGCGCTCAAATTGAATCGGCTAACGCTTTTATACAATTAAATATATGCATATCGTACGAGACAAACAGCAGTCCATCACTCCTCGATAGTAGAGAACACGTGGGTTAACTTGCAAACGAGACACGCAACGAAACTAAGAAAAAAAGACAAAATGCAAGCCGAGGCAGTTGTAAGTCTTCCAAATTAAATCGCCACTGCACGCCTTCCATGCAAAGAATATCTTTAGGAATCTTCCCGCCCTTACTCCACTTTACCGTAGTAGCCAATATGAAGGCAACGATTGCGGGTCAACAAACATTGGCTGACGGACGCTGGCCAACAAACGTCAACGAGCAAACGCTAAATCGAAACACAAAACATGCCCAAAATTAGGGCACATCATTTGTAGATTCACGCCATCTATAAATACCGTCCAGAAGGTGGCCCGAAACACGCCATTCGAGTCTCACACACACACGGGAAATTTTCCGTCCCCAAGTTCCACAACGTGATCTCGTCGCTTCGAGGTGATCATGACTTCCCCAAAACCTACTTGACTAAAAGAATGCGATGCTGCGTCGCTTCACACAAGAAGAGCGTTCCACTCGAGAAAATCGTTTTGACGCCGCCATGGACTCTACCACATTAGATTGTCCGCAGTTCGGAACGTCGCTTTCGAATGCTGCTGCAAAGGCCGCCGACTCAGTGGCACTGCACGAAGCTCTCCAGTTCCCGGGGCACCAGGCCCCTGAACGGCACCCCCTGCCGCACGATGGCCCGCGCGCACAGGCACCGGAGCCCAGCGAACCGCAGGGGACTCCCCTCCACCAGCGCCGGTGCGTAGTCTAACGCCGTCCGGCCGAACCGATCTGCGCGGTCCAGGTGCGCGCCTCGTGCCAACAACGCCGCTGCTGCTGCACGTGCGCAGGGCCGCGAACGAGCCGCAACGTGCAGCGGCGTGGACAGGTCGTCGTCAGTCGCGTTGGGGTCAGCGCCCACGTCGAGTAGCAGACGGACGAGCTCGGGCGCCGGGAACGAGTCGGCACAGACCGTGCCGAGCGCCGGCGTCTGGCGCCCGAGGCAGGTGGACTCGCGGCGGCACGCCACGTGAAGGCAGGTGTCGCCGTTGGCGCCGCGCACGTCCAGGCGGACCAGGCGGTACGCGGCGCGGCGGAAGCGCTCGCCCTCGTCGTCCTGGGGTTCAAGGCGGCAGAGGAGGGCCGCCAGCTGGAGGGCAATGACCAGGGTGCGGTGCACGCCCTCTGGGGGCTGCGGTTGCAGCGGGCGTGGTGACTGGGGCCCCGCCGAGAGGAGCTCGAGGACGGCCCGCTCGAAGACAGCCAGCACGTCGGCGAATTCGACGGGCGCCAGGTGGCGCCGCGAAGGCCTGCGGAGTAGAGTAACCACATGGCAGAGCAGGGTCAGGACATATGTTTCGCTTTGCTCTTGCGCAATGTAGCTCTTGCACTAAAGTATGACGGGTGGGAAACTTCTTGAACCTTCGGACATCATGCGTGCCATTTAAATATGTGTAATTGCATTGTTTTCTTAAAGTGAGCACAATTATAAGGCGGCCACGAGCAAGCAAACAACACGACGACCAAGCCTGTGCGCGCATGCTTCCGAGAGATCTGGGAGATCCCTCATTTTCATCCTGGTCGTCCCAATGAATGGCCGCCTAACTCTATACATAACCCTGGCCAGTGTAAGGAACTCTATAATACTGTCTAAATTTCGACCCAAACCAGCAAACATTTTGTCAAGAAATTAAGCTTAGGAGCTGTGAGTTCCGTTCATAATATTCTCATTAACTCTCCTATAGAAAGCTCACAACAACCCATGACATAGAGGAGCACTTTTTTAGGACATCAGTTCTTGAAGCAATATGTATGCCATGTTTGCAAGATATTGAGCTGAAATCTCATGAATGGCATTAATGTACCTATAGACTAAAGGTGTATAGTAAAACCAACCTAATACGAGGGTGATTAAAAAAATTATCCACACTATGGTTAAACTTCTGTAGGTAGCACTGTCGTACAAGCGCTTGTCGTACACAGAGCCGTATATGTAGAGAGTTTGGCCATTTGTTGGGAAGTACAGGAGACAAATGAGGAGGCGCCATTGGCCGAAAGCGGGCTGGGCGTGTTCCAGGGCGTCTTCAGAAATTCGAATGTGACCAACCAGAAGCCGGAAATAATACCCTGGCGGTGGTCGCGAGAAACAAACCTGATAACTGCATTGGAGTAACTCTCAATGGCTGAAAATATGGTACACGTGATGTTTCAATCACGCTCATCCAAAATGATGGTGGAAGAATGCGACTAGCGGAACGATCGATATAATCCGTACGCCAAATGCCGAGGGCCGGGAATCTGCCGTCAGAGCGGTCACACTCTGTCCGCGCAAAACAGAGTTGAGCGGCGCATTCGTTTCTTACACCTTTCAGCGTAATCATGATGAAAACAACACGTGCACCCTATTTTCAACCACAAAGAGTTACTCCATTTCACTCTTACGCACTTATTAAAATCATTTACAAACATAGACGTTCGATGATCGATCGGCTCAGAACTGTTTCTCGTTACCACCGCTAGGGGATTCTTTTCGGCTTATGGTTGGTCAAGAGAGCATGCCAAGCCCTCTTTCCGAGTCTGCCACACGCCCTGGCTCTGCCTGCCCCTCCCATTGACCAAACTCTCTACATATACGGCTCTGGTCATACAAGGTCTCTCCAGTCACTGCTGTGTGGGTTTCAACGTGTTACGTCAGTTCAGTTCTGACTGCAGTGCAAGAAACAATGGCAGCCCCACTTCTGATCTGCACCAAAGAAGAGCAGTGATGTGATTGGCCTAAGCCATCTTGGAGCACCTTTCAGAGCAGCCAAAACAGCGTTTTCGAGCAGCAAAATTGGATTTTTGAGAAATCAAAACAGTGTTTTGGAGCAGCAAAACTGGATTTTGGAGCAATCAAAACAGTGTTTTGGAGTAGCAAAAGTGGAATTTGGAGCAGTCAAAACAGTGTTTCAAAGCAGCAGAAGTGGCTTTTGGAGCAACTGTTCTTAGAAAAATAAAAATATTCTTTTTAAGTGCAGAACACACGAAAGGCACTTTGCTCACCGCAATAAACGAATTATGGCCAAGTTTGACCACCTGAGAATCTTTAAACATGTAACTGAAATGCCAATGACATGGCACATTTTGCAATGCTTCAGTTAAATGATACATAGATATGTACCCGCTATAGATAAATAAGAACCAAACAGCACATATTAAAATTTATTTGAAAATGACCAGCTTCGTAGTAACTCTCACAGCATTAGGTTCACTAGTTACATATTATAATAAATGGAAGCAATCTCCGACTTATGGAACATGTAGCTACCACAGTGGAATGCGAAATTGTACTCATGACAAAGGTGCATTACGACTAGCGAATACTTTCATTTCTGCGCTTTGAAGCTTTTTCCTAGGCTGCTGCAAGCCTCACTTTGCCTTCGGCTAATAATGAATGCCCACTTCCAATGTCTCCAAAGAGACATTGAGACATCTCACAAGTTTACAGTGCTGTATGCGTTACCGAGCTATTCCGAAAAACCGCTCGCCACCGTTTTACTGGTTCCCGACGTGCCAGATTTTTGTCAAAAGTAAGCCAACGTAAAACAATGGATTGTGCAAGCGTCCCGGCTGGTGCCTCTGTTGTGCAATCATGTTCACATGCACATGCACATGAGGATGACTTCGGCAGGCTTGAAGTTGCACGTGCTTCGTCGCGCGAGCGGAACTGGCTGTTCGATTGAAACCGAAACCATGCCACTCCGCTTCATCGCGAACTGGTTCCCAAAATTGTATGCAAAATATAACTGCCCAGAATACGACAAAAAGCAGTCCAGCGGCACATGCTTGCCAGGCCGGAAGGCAAGGTACAAGCTAAACACACAAAAAAAAAAAAAAAAAACTGAGCGCATCGATGCAAGACATAACGAGCCAGGGTCAAAAAGTTCTTGGAGCACTCTGTGCAACGACTGAACTCGAGACAAACAAGCGCGCTGTGCAGGTTCAGCACGCAGACATTGCCTTCTTTGCTTTAACTCACTTACCTTCACCACTTTTTCACCTATACAGTGTAGAAGACCGCATATAACTTACGTCTCGGGAGTCGCGAAAATCCTCACTATAAGCGGTACCGCACTATAACCAAAACATCAATTTTTCAGGCCAAAATACATGCCATGAGACAACTTACCTTTGTAAAAGAATTTATTTTATGTTAGGTGAAAAATAAAGCTTAGTTTGAGGAAAGTCTTTATATCACCAGACTAGTAGAGTTCTGTCTCAAGTGTGTCACACATTTTTAAAGAAATGAGTGGCTTTTGCCTGGCGCAGCCTTTTAACGGCGTCGCGGGTTGCGGACGGACGTTGCGAGCGTTCGGGATTGCTAACCCTAATCAATTTTCTCCGGAGATGAAAACGCGTGAAAATTCACATCCTTCATACGGTACGCGCCAGTAATACCTTGAACTTTAGTACACGCATGAAATGCGCCAAATAAGAAATCCGGGCGATGTTCGAGGACACAAATGCTTAGAAATCACCACTGTAGTCGAAGTAAACAAACACGACGACACGGGCGTTTCTGCCGTCTTGAGAGCGCCGCCACAACATCGCCGCACGAGTAGGTGGATCTTCCCTTCTAGTACGTGCTGGGTTATCATAGCGACACACAACGAAAATTCACAGTCAAGGATAGCGCTTTTACGCAGAACGATGAGATGCACGCCAATCTACGACGACGATCACAACCGACGCCATGTTTGCGGAATAGAAGCAGCCGGTCCGCGACCGGCATGCAACGCGCGCGAACACTTCTCCTCGACCTGCGATTGCTCTGTCGTTGCGGTTGTTTGTTTCTTTGTTTCCAACGCAGCGGAGAGACGCACGCACGTGAACGACTCGTGCGTGCGTCCCTCCGTCGCTATGGCAACTGAAGCCTCTCTCTTCGCTTCTCCCCGCGTTTTCGAGCAACTTCCTTGCACTGCGAGTGCAGCTTGTGGCTCGCGCCGTCAGCGCCGTTATCTAGTGTCGCACAGGGAAGCGAGCTCGCTGCTCCGGTCGTCGGCGCGGTCGGCGGGCTGTGCCAAAAACCGCACTATAACCGGTATTTCCCTTCGCGCACCTGCATTTTAAGCGGTATGTAATTACATGGAGTTCTATGGGAGGTGAACCGGTGGTTTAAAAAAACCGCGTTATACCCGGTCCTGCACTATAAGCGGTTACGTTGTAAGTGGTCTATACTGTACCTGGTTCCCCCTCTAAAGAAAGCCTACCGAGAGAAACCTAGGTGATGAATACTTCGACGCAGCAGTCTTTGAGTTAAAGAGGGATTCTTGTAGTAGCGTATGATTTAAACGAGAACAGGAATGTTGATGAACATGCACCATATCTGCAGCGACGTGGGGACAGCAACACCCGACGTCGCCCGATCACGGTGACTGGCAGGCAGGGACCAAATATAGTTTTCCCACGGCCGCTGCTTTCAGGAGCGAGTGCTTCAGCTCCCAAAATTACTCCCGCCGCGCAAAAACGTGGTTTCGTTTCACAGCATGATGGCATGGCTGGCCTGGTACCCGGCACGCTACCGTCGGAGCGTCCACACATGCCCGCGTCTATTGTTGAATTTTTTTTTCTTAAGGACGCTAAACGAGATTCATATGACGACGAGAGCGCGAAACGAGAGACGGAGGGAAAGGCCATGTAAGACCGGATGGACCATTGATGCTGTGTACTTTCTGTCGGGTAGAGTTCCTGTATATAGCTACCTACCGAGGAACTCTACTGTCGGGCGGCTGCTTGCGCCACCTAGCCTGCACATGCTCAATTACGGTTCTCAGTTTAGTTTCGGTTTTGAAAGGCCACAAAAATTGGTCCTTGGCGCAGGCTGGGTGCAGATTACCCATATTTTGGCAAAATCTAGCAGGATGTAGCGGGGTTAGTCCCCTGGCGCAGTTTGGCGCAACAATCACATCACAGGAAGCTTGACGAACGACGACGACAACGGCTGGTTTCATCGGCATGGTTAACGTGGTTTTCTTTCTGTGATCTTGCAGTCGCCAATTTCTGGGAGTGTGAGAAGTGTGTTCTACAGTGACACTACAATTTGAAACGAGGGGCTTTACTCCTTTACTCGTGAAAAGAATTAGGCATGGCGTGGGATTCCAACCTCCCAACAATTCCTCTCGGGATGTTTCGGTTGTGATTCAAAGTTAGAGATTGTGTCACGATCGTGATTAAATCTGCCTGCTATAATGTTTGTGGCGTTTGTTACTTATTTTTTTCTTTCTAACCTGTGCGTTACATTTTTGTGGAATGGTAGGACCAAGAGGTGTTTCTCGCATGATCTGTCAAACACATTGGGAGAAAAAACGGCTCGTTTGTCAGCTCCGTGCCGGTGGTGCGCCTTTGGCCGAATATTCGAGTGACCAAATACTAGGAATTCGATTTGCGAATCGAATTATTCGGGAACTTGCTATTTCATTCAATTCGTATATTTGAGTATTTACACACCCCTACTTGCTGCTAACAGCCCCGTGAAAATAGGGATGTTCGCTGATGACTGCGTAATTTATACCCCAGTTTTATCAGTTCAGGACCAGATATCTGGCATGGCACTGTGGTGTTGCAAATATAACATGCTGATTAACCTTAAATAAAGCTCAGTACATGCATTTTTCAACAAAGAAAAATAGTCCTGTAGAAATAGAATTAGAATAGAAATAGAATAAAAATAGAATCTTGTATTACGAGGCTGATGGAGTGCTAGAAAAAGCCGACAGCTATAAATATCTCGGTGCAATTATTTCAAGTGATTTAAAATGGAACTGCTACGTACAGTACATGAGAAAGCGAGCAACGAAGAAAATGTGCTACCTTAGGAGAACGCTTGGCAGAGCTCCACTTCTGGTTAAACTACTAGCAAATAAACTATTATTACACCTATCCCAGAATATGCATCCAAAGCTTGGGATCCCTGGCAGTGATGTGATTTGCCTAAACCATTTTGGAGCACCTTCCGGAGCAGCCAAAACAGTGCTTTGGAGCAGCAAAAGTGACTTTTGGAGCAGCCAAGACAGTGTTTTGGAGCAGCAAAAGTGGCCTTTGGAGCAGATAATCTTTGAAAAATAAAAATACTTGTTTTAAGCGCTGGACAAACGAAGGGCACTTTTCTCGCCACAATAAACAAATTATGGTCAAGCTAGACCACTTGGGAGTCTTTCAACATGTAACTGAAATGCCAATGACATGGCACATTTTGCAATGATTCAGTTAAATTGCACCTGCTATAAATAAATAAGAACCAAACTGCACGTATTAAAATTTATTTGACAATGACCAGCTTGGTAGTAAATATCAAAGCATAAAGTTGACTAGTTATATAATATAATAAATGGAGGCAGTCTCCGACTGACGAAACACACAATTAGTGCAGTGCAATGCGAAATTGTACACAAGACAAAGTTGCATTACGACTAGCAGGTGCTTTTCTTTTTGCTTTTCCAAACTTTCTGCAAGGCTGCTGGAAGCCTCTCTTTACCTTTGGCCAGTAATGAATGTCCAGTTTCAATGTCTCCAAGAGACATTGAGACATCCCACAAGTGTACAGTGCTATAGGCATTGCCGAGCAAGTCCGAAAAGCGCTTGCCACCGTTTTACTGTTTCTCAACGTGCCAGACTTTTGTAAAAAGTAAGCAAACGTGAAACAATAGATTGCAAGCGTCCCCGATGGTGCCTTTGTCGTGCAATCATGTTCGCATGCACATGAGGGCAACTTCAGCAGGCTTGCAGTTGCACGTGCTCTGTCGCGCGAGCAGAGTGGCTGTTCGATCGAAACCGAAGCCACGCCCTTCCGCTCAGTCACCAACTGGTTCCCAAAATTGTACGCGAAATGTAACGATGCAACTGTCCAGCATACGCCAAAAAAAATGGTCCAGCGGTACGTGCTTGGCAGGCCGACAGGGCAAAGTACAAGCTAAACACAGCAAAAAAGAACCTGAGCACACTGATGCAAGAAATCGCGAGCTAGGGTCAAAACGTTCTTGTAGCACTCGGTGCAACGACTGAAGAAGGCAATGATACATTGCCTTCTTTGCTTTAGCTCACTTCTCTTCACCAACTTTCTTTCGCGGAAGATTTTTCACGTACCGGGGTCCCTCTAAAAAAAAGCCTACCAAGAGAAACCTAGATAATCAATGCTTCGACACAGCAGTCTGAGTTAAGAGGGATTCTTGTAGTAGCGTATGATTTAAACGAGAACAGGAATGTTAATGAACATGCGGCAGTTCTTACATTTCAGCTTAGAAAGCGCCATACGCGATGTGGGGACGGGAACACCCCACGTCGCGCAACCACGGTGACTGGCAGGCAGGGACCAAATATAATTTTATCACGGCCGTTGCCTTCAGGAGCGAGTGCTTCAACTCACTAAGTAACTCCCGCCGCGCAAAAACATGGTTCCGTTTCACAGCATGACGGCATGGCTGGCTTGGTACCTAGCACGCTACCGTCGGATTGTCCGCACACGCCCGCGTATATCGTTGTAAAAGTTTTGAAATACGCAAGACAAGAGCGCAAAACGAGAGACGGAGGAAAAAACCATGGAACACCGCATGCACTATTGATGCAGGGTACTTTGTGTCGGGCAGTCGCTTGCGCCACCTAGCTCAAGCATGCTCAATTACGGTATTCAGTTTAGTTTCAGCTTTGAAAGGCGACTGAAATTGGTCCTTTGGCGCCGGCTTGGCGCAGATTACCCATATTTTGGCAAAATGTAGCAGGATGTAGCAGGGTTAGCCCCTTGGCACAGTTTGGCGCCATTGGCGCAACAATCACATCACTGTTGGCAGGGAAACCTTGATAAAGAGGTTGAGGAGGCCAAATCACCGGCGGCGCAAGTGATCTTTCCGATTTCGGGCTATCAACGTCGGTCACAAGACTTAAAACTTCAACAAATTTACAACCCCTAATCAAGAAAAGGTCATGCCGGTGCATTAAGTTCTTCGCTCACATTTATGTTTAACTCTGAAAAATCGATAGCTGTAGATACCTAAAATCAAGAACCTTCTACTCTGAACGATTACATCACTAAAAAATGGTGACTCCTGTTACTGCTCGAATAAATACATTTAAACGATCATTTCTTACGCATACAATAACCCTATGGAACAAGCTACCCAGTGACATAGTTGACATTGATTCATTTCCAGTTTGTGCGAATTTTCTATATATTCTTTTTCTGTGCTCAGTTGTTTTGACACTGCAGAGTCATTTTGCTCTTTAGTGTATTGTTTAGGTACCAACCTATACATATATGTAATGTTACAAACCAACCATGCTTTGTCAAATTTTGAAAAACAAACTCTGGGTGTGTGCATCCGAGTATATTGCATAAAAAGAGAGTTAGCACACAGATTGTTGTTGTATACCTTCAGTGAAAAATTGTGCATTGTGCTTGAATCATTCACTCCTGCTATGGCCCCACTGGGCTGGCAAAATTGATAAAAAAAAAATAGAAAGAAAAAATCTGGTCTGGCCCACTAGCACTATGTCTGGGTGGAAAGTAACCATTCGATGATGCACAAACTTTTGTTCTTTTTTTTTTTTTTTTCACAAAAAAGAAAATGGCATAAATTTCCTTTAGTTACACCCTGTACAAAGCACTAATGCTTAGACAATGTGTGTTCAGGGATAGGGTTGCATAAATAATGTCCCCCAAAACAGATACAAAGAAATAAGGAACCTCATCTCATACTTTGTTTCGGGATGAATGGAAGCAAAGTAAGACCAGGCAAGAGAAACCCACCTTGAAGGCCTAGCTTCAGCCATCATGAAGGAGAAGAGCTCGGCGAAGGAGAGCAGGCTGCTCTGGGTCATGGGGCTGAAGGGCTCCAGACAGCGCTGCTGCATGTCCAGCGCGTACAGCCACAGGTGCACGCAGCGGGGGAAGTCCCCCAAGTCGGCGTACACGGCACCCCGGTACCGGATGTAGTATGCTGTGTCCGGGTGGGCCGGGCCGAGCACACGCTCGCGCACCAGCAGGGCCTGTGACAAAGCACCTCCGTCAGTCGCGTCCGACTCTCCGAGCGCAAATTCACAAGGAGTGGAGAAGTGCACGGCCTTGGTTGGTGCTCAAGGTGCGCTCACACTCGGCGGCTATGTGGAGCGCAAGTTCGCCTGCTTCTCATACGGGGGTTGCAACAATCTCAGAATGCCCAGCTCTTGTTGGCCAGTTGGAATGAATAGTAGGTTGAGGCGTCCAGTATCGGGGTCCACCCACCGTCCTTCCAATCAAAGCCAATCGGAGCTCAGCGTCTACGTCGCCGCAGCTCCTGCGTAAGAAGCAGACGACTCGCTCTCCGCGCAGCTTTCCTCGTTGTCCCAGAACCTCCAACCTGAGCCCGACATGTTGAGCCAAGTTGAAATGAGGTGGCACCAAGTTGGCTAACGGAGCTTGGACGCTTCTGGCCCCCCGCACTAGATGGAAGGTTTTGCGGCAATGATGAGATCGACAGACAATCTGTGGGAAAGGGTCACCCGTAACTTTGTCAGAATTATTTCGGGCTCGTGGTCCAAGAATGATGAGCAAGAAATTAGAAAACATGATCGGGCTGGAAGTGGGCCGAGGCTGCCCAACAGATGGCGGCAGCAAAAAGGGTGGCATGGCTCCGTCAGGCATTCGTGCCTTTTACCATGTACCCCGAGACATCTCTGTAGAGGTCTCAAATAAGGGTAGAAACAAATACTATATAATCTCGGCGTAACGCAGTCGGCGACATTCAAACGAAGATGTGTGGACCAGCCTTTATGTGACAAATTATACTATGGGCTACTGGATTGCAAATAACACGTTCAGGGGTGGAAGAAAGCTTCAGCCTTTTGGAGCAGTTCTGGGAGCAGCAAAGATACCCCTTTGGAGCAGCTTTGGAGCAGGGAAAGTTCAGCTTTGGAGCAGCTCAGGAGCAACAAAAATCGAGTTTCGTAACAGTAGAAGCAAATCTTGGAGCTGCTTGGTGCTATAAGCACAGATCTGTTTCTCGAAATACAAAAAGAAATATAAATAAAAAAACATCTCAATGCGACGTTCCAGAACCATTTCCAAACATGACCTTTCCTTAAATATATTCCAGCCCATAGCAAAAAATATATTTGAATGGCTGCCATTGAGAACTGTCCTGGTGGTGGTAGCGGGTTGGTTCTTCTCACGGATTTACAATAGTAGGCATAGGCAACTAAAGAAAAACAACTTAAGCCTCATGAAAACAAGACATTTTCATTGTTTAACAACGTAAATTGCACGTTCCATAAGTTGGAAACAAAACCATTTCAGGCTGGAATAGTATGGTATGAAATAAAGTCCACTACTGACTACAGTTCATCATTAGGAAATACCAATGTTTCAAGTCCCTGTTTAGCAAACAAAAATATTCCAATACTCTGAACAGAGGTCAAATCAAAAGTAATTCCAATAATCAACAGAGTACAAATCTACTCTATATAAGTACAAATGCAAAATATTGAAAACTTCATGATACCACCATACCTTTCCTGCTCATACATACACACTTAATTAACCCTTACTAAAAGAGGCATCACTGACTAAATAGAAACAAGAAAGCTTGATTAGGAGCTTAATAAAAAATACTGATGGACAAAACTAGCATGTAAGACCATAAAGCGGAAGGTTTGCCTTAAGTCAACGCACAGCGCAAATTTATATGCTTCTTGCACAGGGGTTCCGTGACGTCAAAACGTCGAGCTCTTATTGGCTGATTAAAAAAAAACGGTGGGTATATCTCGAGGCACCTAGCACTGAGGTCTACCCACTATCATGCCAATCAAAACCAATCAGAGCTCGGCGTCGTTCTGAAGTCACCGCATCTCCTCTGCAAGAAGCAGACGACTTGCTCTCCGCATTGCTTGGATGCGCTCTAACACAACGGTTTAGAATTTGCTTTGCTCAGCGGGACATTCCCACTGTTCTCCTCCTCTTCCCGCCGGCTTGCTGTTTGAGTGCACTCGCCATGCATGTCATTTACAAGAAACCCTACAGATGATTGAGGCAACCAATTATCGCTTTTATACGTTACGTTTACTACACGAATGAGGAACGCGGAAGCAGTCTCAGCAAAAGCACCCCAAACGCGCAAAAATAAATATATATTATGCCAAATGTTTATTTTTTATAGAGTAGTTACTGCTTTCCTCAGAAATTAGATGATAGGTGAACAAGTGCCAGCAAACTCTTATGTACATTTATATACCATAAGGTACTGAAAGAATGCCCACCCGAAATTAAAAGGTAAATTGCGTGTGTGTGTGCGCGTGCACGCACGTGTGCGGGGGGTTAGGGGGGGTACAAGCTACGTGAAACAGAAACTCTTCAACTTCAAAGTTTCTCAACTTTTCCCTCACCACAGTCTTGGGTTTTAAACATCATGATTGACTATCACCAGTTCGCCTGCACACTCACTGTCTTTTCATTACTGATACATATCCCAGACACGGCGAACTCGCGAGTGCAATAAGTATATGGGAATTCACTCAGAACTCCCCTGTAACAGGTACAGCAGCAGAACGCGGACACAGCGCATTCGCGCTTCACACTGCGATACAGACGCAAGAACCCAGCCCCCTCAAACTCGGGTGTCATGGGAACCGACATCGCGCGCAAAAATCACAAGCAAAAAAAAAAAAAAAAAAAGCGAGAACGAATTGGGAATTTGCATGCCATGGAAAGGGATACCCCGTAGTGGCCTCGAGATCGACCTAGCAGTGGCGCTACGGTCGCGCTGTCCTCATCATCGAAGTGGGGATAGGAGAACGGCCGCCCCATAGGCTCTCCACATTCGCGCGCGAGACGGCGTAGATTCTTGCGTTTATTTTGTTACATACTATCGGTGGGAAAACAATTTTAGCGGAAAAGGATGCGGTACTGTTCGGTGCTTCAGTGAAGATCGAATCGTGTTGCCAGCGTGCAGCCTAAATTTATATAATAGCTTCTGTGGGTGCGTCGTCTGCTCTAGGCAGACGTTGGAAAGCATGGATCACCACGACTGATGCCAGTTTCCGGCTGAACTGGAATATTTACGTTAAATATTTGTTTCTTTTAAAATGGATGTCTCGGTTCATCAACGTGGGAATTAAAACAAAAAAAATAAATTCCAACCCAGATAACATAATACTGGTACTGCGGGCTGTGAAATTGCAGCTTCTATGCTTTTTTTAACTTCTAGCTTTTGCAGTAATATAAATATTTAGAATTAAGATAAGTTAGCACTGTATTAGAAATTTCCATGCTATTGAGTTCCTCTGCCCTTTTACTGTGCCATAGTGTGGGTAAGTTTTTCTGAGTCTGAACAAATCTACTGTGTTGCAATGAGGAGAGTGTGTCTCTTCTAGTTAAGATCTGCAAACTGCACGGTTGGCTGGACAACTGAAACAAGTGAAACAAACTGTTCTAATATGTCTGCCGTGACTGTAATAAACGAGTGTAACCGAGCAACGCAGCCATGTTCCTGCTATTAAATGCTTTTCTCGGTAGTGTGGGTTCACCCGCTTCAATTTTCTTGGTGAGGGCCGCGGATGTCAAGAGGCTAAATAATCTTGTATTCAAACACAGAAGACTCTGCGACCCCAACAAACGACGCGCACCACGACACAGACAGCATCGGCCGCAGTGATACTCTTTTACTGATGAGGGCTAGCCACCTTCACGAGACTTTCTGATCACCCTCCGCCCTCACCTAACGTATATCGGGACTGGGCAGTTCATCGATCAACTTTCATATTATTCGAGCAATGCTTTAATTGCAATTTTTTTTTTTGCCGGATAATTAGAGTCTTGTGCTGGAGAAACTCAACAAGGAGTACAAAATGCCTGCTTTAATATTTTTTACGTTTTTATTTCTTTTGTGACACAGGCTTGCACAGTAAACCACTTCAGCGTGCTTGTCATTTCACCGAGGGTGATTATACTGTTTAAATAACTTAAAAAATTCTTCATTTTAAAAGGCTTCCCATGTTCATATTTATGTAGGACTCCCAACGTGAAGTTTAGAATGGGAATGCAATATGCCATTTATGACATAATAAAACCAGTAAAAATAATTTGTAGTTTTAACATCTTTCAAGCAATATGACCGGCGAAAAATCAACATACGGATTTAATGAATGATTAGTCTATCAAAGGATAGCGATCAGTCGGGTTAATTTTCTAATCAAACCACAGACCCACTCAACATTCAATGCTTTATGAAAGCCATGGTTTGTGCAAGATAACAAAAATACGTAGGACCAGCGATTGTATACAAACCAACACACTAAGATTATGGAAGCTCCCGACTTAATAGTAATCGCTTTGCTAAATTTCTACGCATCGGAAACGATACAACACACCCTTTAGTAAGAAGGAACGGCAACAAAAACATAAAACATTTAATAAGGAATGTCGAGCTCAGCCTGAAACGGGCTTGCGTCGTCGAGATCCATGCTTCTGAGCGTGCGCCCGTAGCAGACGACGCAAGGAGGTATGCCCACTTTTGCGCATTTCTAATTTCGGCCGCACGGTAGCGACACGGTTCGATCTCGAGGCGAATAGTATGGATGGTGCAAATTTGCGTCACGGTGCGATAAGCACGAGAGAACCTGCGGCGAGCACGCTTGTCGCGTACCAATACCGCAAATCACTCAAAAAAAAAAAAAAAAAACCGGGATGTGTGAGTTTTGTGGGGCGGTCGCTTGTAAGAGACTTTACGGCGATTTAATGCGTGCGTGTCGTATGTCAAATACACTCGATCATGCTCAGTGCCACTGTGCAAAAAAAAAAAAAAGATTAAGTGAATGACGAAACGATGCATCGAAGCATCGTCCCGTCGTTTGTCAGAGTTCTGATGAGTACCCTGAGAAAGCGACCTGTGCATGTGCCATTTCAGGAGATCAGGCTTACACGTTGTTGACACAACCACATCGGTATGGCGGTTTCATAGCAATAGGGCCTTTAAAACATTACCGCATACTACTGGAGCCTTTAAAGCATGCTTTTA